GGCGCCGAGGTTCACACAGGCCTCGGCAGGAGAGGGCGCTGACCCCAGGCACTGGGAGCTCACGTCTCTGCGGGGCAGCGGTGGCTGAGAGGGGCAGGAGTGACCCTGCCTCAAGCACAGCAGACTCAGGCTCCAGGCTGAGCAGACGGGACAGCTGAGGGCCACTGGCCCGGGAAAGCCAGTCCCTCGGCTTCACCTGGGGCTTCCACTCACGAGCAGGGCCACTCTGAGCGGCAGCTTCTGCCCTCATGGACACAGAGGACCAGGACGTCACAGCCCACCTCCTCCAGAGAGGAGGGAGGGAAAGAGTGACAACCCAGAACTGCTGGTGAGCCCCGCTCTGCCCCAGACTGTGGCGCAGCCCGTGCTGCTCAGAAGAGACAGGAGACGGCAGCAGCCAAGACGTGACCACACACATAGCATCCCCTGCAGCATGTCACCCGGGGTGAGCCACGGAGCTCACACGGGGACCAGGGCCCAACGTTGATGGGAAAAAACAAAACGAAGGCTCCAGAAAGGGAAAACAGTCAGGCCTGGAAGAAGACACAACGACTATGTAGTCTCTCTCCCACCTTATCCCATGATCACGATTCAAATTTCCACTCATTTTATAAATCTGTGTTAGAGTATCAGGTGTTTTCTACAATGAGCATACAGTAGTTTTATCCCCTGAAAAAATGGTACTAAGAAAAGTTAAATCCAGCGCACACTCACAAGTGTTTGCTGTGTGTGGGTGTGTGGGAGCAGTGGGAGATAAACAAACAAGAATGGCAAAATGTCCATAATTGTTGAAGCTAGGAGATGTGTCTATGGAGATTCATTGTACTTTTCCTCTCTGTCTTTGTGTATGCTTAAAATTTCTACAAGGAAAAGATTTTTAAAAAGCATAACGTGCTACAGACAAATGTTAAAAGAGAACTAAACTAACAAAGGTGATCATTCACAAGTGCTCTGTTCCTGCTCTCAGGGTTAGCCCCTGTGATCTGGCACACAGACAGACCCCGAGATGCTCATAATCAATGTACCCACACCTCAGAGAGCAGGTACTGTCGTGCGACCTGGACTGGTTTGCTTTTTTGGTTAACTGAATTCTCATTGTCTTCTGCCAGTGTCACACGGCCCTGCCTCGGGGGAGTTTCAACCTTGACTTCATCCTCTCAGTCATCAAACTTTCATTTCTATCAACTAAGTCTGCCAGCAAGAGCCAGAGGTAGGGATTGTTTCAAATGACAGCTCTTGTGGGCACACACTGAACTGAGAGGTCAGAGTTACGCAGAACACCTGCTGAACCGCCCTTGCCGCATTTTCTGATATCTTAAGACACAGTAGCCAAGGTCTCAGTCATGTGAAACTCACAAATGGCAAAAATGCTATCATTGTTCCTCTCTCATTTACCCCTCGACGCCGCGACGTGGGAAGCAGTGTGTGGAAGATACTGATTAATCAGACACAGGCCCGCACTCAAGGAAGCTGACAAGGTAGGGGAAACATATAAGACACAGGAATAAACATGTAGCTTCACACAGGGTAGAAAGTGCATTAAAGGTCCACTTTGTCTTCCCCTTTAGACTTTAAGCTCTGTGAGGGCAAGGACCACATGGGTCTCGTTCAGCTAGAGTCACCAGCCACAGTAGGTGCTCACATTAACAATGCCTGCTGAATACATGGCCCTATGGATGAAAGTGTCAGGGTGTCTAGAGAGGCAGGGAGAATTCTGGGGTTAAAGGAAAGGCTTCATGTGGAGATGCCACTTGACTTTGGACCTGGGACTTGGACACACTGAGACTGGGGCAATGGTGAGAGATTCTCAGGGGAGAGATTAGCAAATAAAAGTTACCGTTATTCTCTCCTCACTATCCTTTCATCCTTGTTAGCAACACACTATCTTACTGCTAGAAAATACAAAACATCAAAGTAACTGTTATACAACTAGTCAACTTCTTAGGTGGAAAATAAATATCTTTATATTCATTCAACATTAGAATATAGTGTTTTATGATAAGCACTCAAAGAATACTGGAATCCTTGATGATGTGCCAAATGTGATGCTATCTTTAAGAAAATATGAAGTGCCTTTATGGAGGAATTTTTAAAACAGAAAGCAAAAATGCAGTACCTCCTCTGTCCCCAAAAGTTTCTCAGGTTCGGTTACAAAACAGAAGGAGTTTACACCACGAAGATGCTCCTCAGTCACGATGTCCACCACGCCCGGCAGGCTGAGCGCTTCTGACAGATCAAGAGACCTAGAGGAGAACACAGAGCAGGGCTCCTCAGAGCAGCCCCACAGCCGAAGACCCCGGAGCACGTGCTTCATTGGAGAATCAGACATGAGAGAGGTAAGATGCGTCTAAGAACCCTTCACGACAGTTTTCTGCCAGACAATTGGGAAAAATTCCTGAGACGATGAAGTTATCATATGGAGGGACACATTGTAGTAAAGCCTACATTTCGATCCCATTTCACCTCTAATCTGCATTGGATATCACAACAAACAGTTTATCCTCTTCATTCCATTACTCCTCACTAACATGACTTAGACGAAAGGGCAATCATTAACGTCTATTGTAAGAACTGCATCACTTACACAATCTTAGCATGAGCTCTTGAACTTGTTACAAAAGCCAAGAAAAGTTCCGGGTCCACCGCTGGCATGTCGTCACAGTAGATGGCTTCACCCGTGGCATGGTTAATACCAGACAGATGCATGATGGGATGGCCAATTGGGTCTTGAGGAAGCTGCTTTGGGCCTACATTCTGTTTAATCAACAACCAACATATCATTTTGACAAGCATTTTATGCACATCTCCCGTAAGAATGCAGCTATATAATGTACATGCAAACCAGAACACTTTTGAAAATGAAAACAGTCACTATTAATAGTAACACCAGGACAATAAGCCTGTTCCAGTAATTCAGTAAGGAAACGGAGATGTATAGCCTTGATGTTGTTCTTATTTATTTCTCACTTTTTTGGAATATAGACCACACACATCTCTAATGCAAATTCCATGTGTGTAATTAAATGAACATAAATCTTTCTTCATGATAATGTGAGATTATGTCTTCTTGTTAATGCTCATGTATTTCTTTAAAATTATTATCAAGATTATTTTACTGTTTATGTCTAAGCATGGCACATATATTGTGCAGAAGAGCATGGTGATATCTTGACTATGTTTATAGAAAATATTGAGGACTAGCCTTCAACCAGAAGAGCCTTCTTTTTTCTATTTTAAGTGAAGAAGTCTAAGGCATAATTGGTAAAACTCGTAACTTGGACAATCCTGGTAAGAACGAAGCCAAAGGGAGATGCATTTGAGTAATGATTCACTAACGTTACTCTTTCTTAGAGACCCACGGGGTAAAATGTCTTGCTACTGGTTCTGTAAACACCTTAAATATGTTTCATTAACCAAAGCAGAAATTAAGAAACATAATGTCTCCCCCAGTATTTCAAATGAGAGAGTTGTTAGCTTTCCTAGTTGGTTGGTTGTTGGGAGAAGAAGAATTGGAGGTATGAAGAAAGAAGGGGTTAAGAGACATGATATAGGCCAAGCTCAGACACCAGGGTGAAGACTCTGGCTGCTAAGGGGCAGGTGCTGGGAGTGTGGGAGGTGGGAATTCCAGGAAAATTGCCAGCCAAGCAGCCACGGGCTACTCTCTGCAAGGAGAGGGCAGCTCTGGGCCTGGAGCTCTGCCCGAGGAGCTGCCTGCTAAGCAGTGCTGAGCAGCCCCATCCACGACTCACTGGCGCAGCACTGCATTTGGTCCTAGGGCCGAGGCCAGACTCTCGGAGGCTTTCTCTGGAAGCCTTGGGGGTGAGGAGCACACAGTAGGTCAGCCAAGGTGAGGCCTGGAAAAAGCTGGGGAGGTCTCCCCTTCCCACCCCCTCGGCTGCCCCACCCTGCAGGTCACGGGTCCCCGAGCCCTGGAAGAGGCAGGGACTGGTTCTTTGAGGTGAGCCTCACAGCGCGGGGCTACATCACACAGCAGGAGGGAGGGCAGGACAAGTCATTACCAGAACACATACTGGTTAAAACCTTTACGCGGGAGGGAGAAGAAGCCATAGAAGCTGACCTGCTTCCAACTCAGTATCACTAAGGCACCTGAGGAAAAGGGCTAAATACTTTTGTATTT